ATTATGCTTAATTTTCATTTCATCCATGACCAAGGTACAATAAAAACGTTTTTTTAGTTTAATTTTCCTTGGTGTACAGTCTGTTCGATTAGATACGGTCGCTTTTTTTCCACGCATACTCGTTTTGGTCAAAGGTGCAGCATTAAAGTTCGTACTGTAAAGCACCCGAAACGTCGAAAATCAAAAGTCAAGATTAACGCGATAAAATCTGTAAAATTAGTTTTATTTAATGTGTAGTGTTCGCGTAAATATAAGAAGTCATAATTGTAAACTTGTCGAAATTCTAAAATATTTTCAAGATAACAAAACAAGACATAGTTTTTTTTTCTTTTATTTGATTACACCTGCGATTTTTTGTATTCTATTAGCGATATATAAAATATAAAATAAGAGTTTATATATTTTCAGGGATTTAATAGGTATAGCTAAAACCGGTTCGGGTAAAACATTAGCTTTTATATTACCAATGTTTCGCCATGTGCTCGATCAACCGCCGCTAGAGGATACGGATGGACCAATAACCCTCATAATGTCACCCACCAGAGAATTGTGTATGCAGATCGGCAAAGATATCAAGAAATTTGCTAAATCTTTGGGGTTGAGGGTTGTATGTGTGTATGGTGGTACGGGTATATCCGAACAGGTTTGTTTTATTAATAATTTTTCCGTCTTGTCTATAATGGTAGTCTGTAACTATGGATCAAAAGTGTATAACTTTAAATCATCACAACATTATGAATTAACGTTTTAATTCTGGTGTATAAATTCAGAAAAATTAAAATGATTTTAAAAATTTAAGAGTAATTTGTAAACAACTATCTAATAAATATTTTTGTCGTCATTTATAGACTTGTTCAGAATAGTCTGAGAAAATCCTAAACATAGGGAAATAGGTGTATATTAGGGAAAAACTATCAGGAAGCAACCTCGTTTTTTTATTTAACGGGCTTTACGGCTCTGGGTTCTGGCCCTTCTGAGCGTATAATTTCTTTCAGAATCTTCATTTTATATTTATTTTTTCTTCACAATAAGCTGATGCGTCACACAGCTCAACCCAGCGAACTGTTGATGACGACAGCCACTCAAGTTCACAAGGCGCCCAAGCGATCAAATTAAATTGAGGTTTATATCAATATCAAAGCACTTGTTTCGTCGTTTTCTCCAATAGTTCACACGCGCAAACAGTTAATTCACAAAATCATATCACTTTTACGAATTAAAATCTACTTCAAAACATAATTCAAGCGACAAAACAGGAGCGACAGTCCGTCGATAGCCAAGTTTCCGCCAAAACTCCGAAACAACCTCATGCAAGCAATGGTTACTGATAATTTAATCTAAGTGAGGGCTGAGGCTTGGGTGGATAGTAAGGTATCTTAGTTACTGTAAAAATTACTAATTTTTAATAAATTATTTTCAGTTTTTCATTATTGTCTAATAATAAGTAATACGTGATATTACATACTTGATATATATACATACGTGATATTAATGTAACAAACATTATAATAAATATTTATCCTCATACTTGCTTATAGCAAGACGTAGCAATGGTTTTTGTTCGTTTTTTTTTTAATTATATTTGTGACCGTGGAAGGAAAAGGGGAGATCTCCCGCCGGGCAAGGTGTGCCCGGGGAGCGGCCAACACTCCGTGTGATAGGTCGGAGATGTTCTATATATATACTGTTTATGATTCGGAATGTTGATAGCGTGATTTAGGCTTCGGTATGTTTCGCTTGCGGTGCGACGACAGCGCCGCCACATCACCCCCTGCCCAGACCGGAGGTTGATAGTGCAGTCCGATTGTCGGTGCGTCCTTAATGCCGGTGGGGAATGCATGCCTTGTGCGTAAGGGTAAGTGACACCGGTGCGAATGATATGCCGATGTGTAATGCATGCCGTACTACGCACTGGCGAATGATGCCGGTGAGAACGATGTGCCGGAGCAAGTGCCAGAAGTCTGCCTTATAAATCTGCGGTGAGTCGAGATGAAGACAAGTTGGACTGGCTTGCAGGAACTGAAGACTGCAGAAGACGATTCTCAGTAGTGAATGGTGGGAGTTCTTAAGGATAATAACGAAGGCTTGATTCCGAAGGTTGTTGGTTGCGTGTTCAGATTACGTCGGTTAGTCACCACTGGGGCCGTGGTAGGGAAAGGGGAGATCTCCCGCCCGCCGGGCAAGGTGTTCTGCCAAGGGAGCGGCCAACACTCCGTGTGATAGTTCGGAGATGTTCTGTATATACTGTTTATGATTCGGAATGTTGATAGTGTGATAGGTAGTGTGGCGTCGGTATGTTTCGCTTGCGACGCGACGACAGCGCCGCCACATATTGAAACTGACAGTATTTTCTTAGTATTTATCTGTATTTTTTTAAGTTATAAATTTGTTTTAAACAGATTGCGGAGTTGAAACGCGGTGCCGAGATTATAGTCTGCACGCCGGGTCGTATGATCGACATGCTGGCTGCAAACTCGGGCCGTGTGACTAATTTGCGTCGTGTCACGTACGTGGTGCTCGATGAGGCGGATCGTATGTTCGATATGGGGTTCGAACCGCAGGTAGGTGGAATTGTATAATTAGTGTCCTACATTTGACTATAAGTGTTGTGTCTACATGTGTCTAGAGGATAGTAGTTACAAAAATTCGTGTGTACCACAGGTTCTGCGGCCTTAATACATTGCATTCTAAGTTACGGTCAATTCTTCGTAATTCCTTTAGTTGACTGGGAGCGGGCGGGACATTAAATATAAAATGTACAAATTTAATATGCGATCAGTATGGAACGGCAGTTTTCAACGATGTGATGCGGTGGTGGGGGGGGGGGGGGGGGGGTCGTGCCTGTGAAAACGTTTGATGTGAAATGGGTGTGTTGGTAGTTGTTCTAACGTACGTCCGGAAACTAGCCATCTTTTACGTGGTAGACCCATGCTGCAACTATATTGTGGTTGCAGCATGAATGGGTCGGCTTGACCAGGGTGGGACTACGCTCTCACAGAATACCAGCGTCAAATAGTAGCTTAATGCTGTTGTGTTTCGTATGCTGAGTGTAGAGAACTGCAGACCCTTTGTACTGGAAAGGAGGTATTCCATCTCAGTCCTCAGGGCTGGCAACGCATCTGCATTTTGATTCTTACTTAAGATAAATGTAGATGTCTGTGGGCCACAGCATCCATTTACCATCAGGTGGACTGTGTGCTCGTTTGTCACCCTTATTCTTTAAAAAAAAAAAGAAAAATACGCAGGACAGCATTTTAGTGTCAAGAGTCCAAGTGTGGCCGCAACAGGTGGCGCTCTCAGAGAATGAGAAGACTAGCTTTCTTATCGTTGTTTTCCACAATCTTACCATGATTTTGTTTGATAAGACTGCTGTCAGCTGTCATTATTTAATGATACACTTTGTCAACGTGATTTAAAGTTTATTTCGGATAAGTATGTAAGTTTATTTCGTATTTGCCTAAAACAGTAACTGTCGCAAATAAAAAAAAATGGGTGGCATAGTTACCGTGCCAACTACTCAACCAGTTGGCGCCCGCGCGATCCACAGCTGTGACCTGCGACACAGTCTACATATATACATAGAATAGTAGTAGTCTACATATATACATAGAGTCTGGGTGGTTACTGTGCTGCATACTCCCAGTCAAGTCGATGTTAATCTGTAAACGTAAATTCTTGGAGTGTGGTTGCAACTGAGTCTCTGATATTGCATTACAATCTACCTTACCTCTCTTTGGGGTCGGTTCTTCTTTACAAGTCTGCTAAAGGTCGCAGCTATACATAAGCCTATCTCTACGTAGAGACAATTTACCTTAATCGTAATGCTTTGCAGACAGAATTTTTTTTAAAGAATAAGGGTGACAAACGAGCACACAGTCCACTTGATGGTAAGTGGTTGCTGTGGCCCATAGATATCTACATCTATCCTCGTTTGTGAATCAAAATGCAGATACGTTGTCAGCCCTGAGGACTAAGATGGAATGCCTCTTTTCCAGTAAAAAGGGTCTCCGGTTCTCTACACTCACTATACGAAACACAGCAGCATTAAGCTACAATTTGACGCTGGTATTCTGTGAGAGCGTAGTCCCACCCTGGTCGAGCCGACCCATTCATGCTGCAACCACAATATAGCTGCAGCATGGGTCTACCACGTATAACGTGTATCTAATCTACGTATCCAAGCATCCCATCATTGTCTAAGCGTACTTTTTAAGTAAAACTTATTAAGACGGTATATACAATTTACTTGATGTCACATAAACGTGAAATGTTGCAAATTACAAATGGTAACCGATTATTTCGTTGGCGAAAATGAAACAGAATTTCACCTTCCGAATCAGTGGTAGTTTATATTGACTTTCGATAAGTTAAAATATTTAAACTTTAAATTAAAATAATTTTCATAAATGGAGAGGGGGGGGGAATTTCTGGCCACGCCACTGACTGAACTATCTGAGGTGGAAGATGATCCATCGCTCATTATTGTCGGAAATGTACATGCGTCGTAAAGGCTTAAAATATCCTAATAAAATGTCTCCTAATGATCGTGAGGCAAACACAAACAAAATTGTAACCTGTAGATCACAAATAAATTTATTGAGTTTTAAATTGTTTTTAACCACTTTATACTTAAAAACCTATAGCAGATCAAGGGCCCCTCGATATATTTTGCTACGGGCCCCGCGCTTGCTTAATCCGGCACTGGGTATAAACGAGATGGTTATACCAATATCTGTTGGAACCCATAACATCTGGGATGACCTATAGTAGCTTCTTACGACACACACTCCCGTCTCCCGTGTGTCATGGGACGCGATGGATGGACGCCGCTGTCAATACGGCGCGGCGGTAGCTTAAGGCGAGTAAATGCCTCTATATTAGCACAAACACGTGTGACTTTTTAATATTTTTGTGCAAAATGTGTGTGAAAATGTTGTATGAAATTCACGGAGGGCACTTAACCTTCGTGCTAGATACAATTTAAAAGATCAAGGAGAACAGTGAGGAAAGATGTATGTCCAAAGAATAAAAATGTTTCTGGGACTTGTGAAGTTCGTCGACACGCACTAACCTCCCAGATTCTATAATCAGCAGGCGCGTTTACGGCCGTAAATAGACGCTAGATACTAAAGATCCGTACAGGGTTCAGTGCGCACAATCTGGCTTAAGAATAACTTTGCGGACAGCTTGTTAAGCTTGTTTGTTGCTTGGCTACCATTTGCAAGTAGTTACGGCAAGTCCTCACTTTGTTCATCTGCAGTCTATTAGTGGACTGCTAAGATAAAAAATATTAAATTTGTTTGTTTGTTTTTTTATATTAAAGGTAATGAAGATCATAGATAATGTGCGACCGGACCGACAGACTGTCATGTTCAGTGCTACATTCCCTAGACAAATGGAGGCACTCGCTCGCCGCATACTGCAGAAACCTATTGAAATACAGGTTTGGTGTTACATATTAGATACCGATTAAATATTAGAGCGACAACCAAGTTAACAGTGGTGGTGTTTTTTTTTTTAAATAAAATAGGGATGACAAAAAAACACAGTCCACCTGATGGTAAGTGGATAGACGTCTACATTTAACCTCGATTAAGAATCAAAATGCAGATGCGTTGGGACCCCTGAAGACTAAGTTGGAATGCTTCGATTCTAGTAAAACGGGTCTCCGATTCTCTACACTCGCCATACCAGATACAGCAGCATTAAACTGTTATTTTACGCTGGTATTCTATGTGAGCGTGGTCCCCGGTCGTGTCGACCCATTCGTGCTACAACCATAATATAACTGCAGTGTGGCGTATAAAAAAAGTGTGTGGGTACTGCAGCCCATACCTCAGTCCCAACAAAGAAACACACCATAATACTAGATGGTGGGACTACTATTCTGCCTTTGAGCACGTCCGTGTAGGTACCGCTATATTATCTATTTCTACCGCTAAAAAGCAGCGTTCGTACTGCTATGTTCCGGTTCGAAGCGTGTAGCGTGCCTGTATAATTACAGATGTGAGGTATTCTATCTTAGTCTTAAGTTTTTGAAGGCGGTCGGCGGGTGGCCTGTAATTTGATTTGTCACTTCAGTTTTATAAAAAAAAAATCCCACGGATCCCCGTCGCTTCCAAAAAATATTATTAATTGAGATTATATTCTACGAACCAGTGGTTACAATATTTTGTTATTGTTGTTCAGAACATACGAGGGGCACACTGAAATGATCGGGAATAAGAAAAACCACATGCACGGTATAACTAAATTGTATTTTATTGGATTTCGAAGTATTCTCTATTCAACTTAATACACTATTCCATTCGTGCAAACCAATCATTAAAACAATAATTTCAGTCTGTAGTTGATGTTGACAAAATGACTGATTTGTACGCTTCCACAGCTACTTCGGGGTCTTCAAACCGTTGACCGCGTAATAAATCTTTCATTCTTGGGAATGTAAAGAAATCGTTTGGGCTCAGGACTGTACGGAGGATGGCTCATCAGCTCAACGTTTTCCTCGTTCTAAAAATCATTTGTCTTCCGAGTCGTATGGGAGCGTTATGGGACGTTTCGGGTTATTTTTTCGGAGTTCGGCTATCATTTCTGGCAAACAAACCGTGATATACAACTCAGCGGTAACGGTTCTGCGTTCCTGTAAAGGAGTTGTAGCAACATGCCCCCTTTTCGAGACAAACGTAGCGACCATTTTCTTTGCCACGCTGCGGGAGCGAACCACTTCCGTTGGTTTGACCTCGTCTTCGAAGACCCAAGCTGCTGACTGATGTTTTCTTTCAGGTTCGTATGAATAAATCCATGATCCGTCACCTGAGACGATATTATGAACGGCATTTGACTTCCCTCCGTTGAAGCATGGCAGAGTATTCCGGCACCAATTTACACGAGCCGCCTTTTGCTCTTCGGATAAATTGTGGGGAACATTATGTAATATCGATTGAATTGCAGTCATTTCGATACTGATAACAGCCCGAATCTGCTCGTGTATCACATGACGGTCATCTAATATATATAGTTCGCACAGCTACGATGTTTTCAGGCGTGACCGCTGTTCTTGTTCGATATGCAGAAGAAACAGTGCTGAACGACACACGACCGCATCTGAACTCGGCATACCAGCGGTATAGTGACATCTTTTGACTCGGGCTTCAACATCATAAATCGAAACAAGTTCGCTGAGACATTTATCTTGAGATAAGTCGCGACGAAAATTCTGATAAATTATGGCATGGAAATGATCACGCGTGAGCTCCATTTCTGTTAACGACGTGTCAACTTTAAACCAACATAGTTTTTGTTTTTAAAATTTTTTTTAAATTGTTTGAGTGTCATTAAGATTCTAACAGACCAGTATTCAAATTCTAAAAAAGGTTTTATTGTAACTCAATCCGAAAGGTTCTATTCCCGATCATTTCAGTGTGCCCTAGTATGCCAGCAAGAAATCCAGTGGGATTATTTTCCTAATTATAAAACTTTACAATAATATTGTATAATTATTTTTATGAGCTATATAAACAGATGGGTTGGTGATCACCTCTTTTCCAAGAGTTATTTTCATCCACATATATATTATAATAACTCCTTTTGTATACTTATTATTAAATGAAATTCTTTATGATTGACTAGCATTGAATATATTATATAATTTTATTTTAAAAATATTGTTGGAATGGTAGCCACATTTAACACATTTTATAAATTATAATATTTTGTCGCAGGTTGGTGGCAGAAGCGTAGTGTGTAAGGAAGTGGAACAGCACGTGGCAATTCTAGAAGAGGACGCGAAGTTCTTCAAGTTGTTAGAACTGCTAGGCTTATACAGCCAGATGGGCAGCATTATAGTGTTTGTGGATAAACAGGAGAACGCTGATAGCCTGCTAAAAGACCTCATGAAGGCGTCTTATTCTTGTATGAGTTTGCATGGAGGTAAGCTTTTAGTATAATATATATTAATATGTATATGTATCTAAAATATACATAATGTTTATCGGATAAAGCATACGAAAATAATTTCTATAAAAAATATTCAACCTTTGAGTCTATCAAAATATATCCTCATAGGCGGGATGTTACGAGATTCACGTGGTGTTGCAGATATATAAAATATAGTTTGTATAGATTTGTTTCTCTGTCTATTTTATGAACACGAGAAAACTATGTCCACCATCCTGTAATGATATATATTTAAAATGCACTGTTATTACAGGCATTGATCAATTATTATTTCTTTATAGAAGAGGGGGAAAACAAGCATGCGGCTCACCTGATGTTAGTGATACAGCTTTAGAAAGGAGGTTTCTATTCCACAGAGAGGTTGTACGTGGAAAAAAATGGGGGAAGCACTCTCCATGGTATATGCTACATATATGTAGAAAATGCAAAGAGATGAATAAAACTAAATTTATGGATTTTATCGCGTTTATTTCATTACTTTTACTTATTTTTAATTCCCAACGTTTATCGACGTTTCCCAAACCTAAGCGTACCACTGCAAGACTTCATGATACTATAAGCTCGTTTTGCGTAAATCGGACCAAAAATTAATATTCAAAAACTGAAGGTAGCCGGACTAACTATGACATTGGGACGTCAAACATCTCAGTCCCCCCGTGACCATGGGTGCTGTAAAGCACCCGGAAACGTCGGGAATTAAAAATAGGTAAAAGTAATGAAATAAACGCGATAAAATCCATAAATTTAGTTTTATTCAATGTGTAGTGTTCGCGTAAATTTAAGAAATCATTAAATGCAAAGAGATGCAACATCTCTTCGCAGCGCAAGTGAATCGAGCCGATCGGTAAGCACTCGGTCGTCGACGGTTCGAGCCGCTCAGCACTGGATGCGGTCAAGTGGAAGGAGCTGGTACTGGGGAGCTCCAGCCCAGAGATGGGAACAGTATTCCATGTGCGGCCGAACCTGCGCCTTGTAAAGTTGCAGGCGGTGTGCCGGCATGAAATACTGTCCCGCTCTGCTGAGCACGCCAAGCTTTTTAGAGGTCAATTTGGCCTTCTCTTCCAAGTGACCACGAAACTGCACGTCACTCGATATGTCGACGCCGAGGATTCCGATACTGGCTGAGACAACAAGGTAGTGCTTTGAAACTGAGGAGATACGACAAAGGGATTCTCTTTAGCGGTTAACGATTCAGACTTAATGATAGTGGACCTTAAGTCAACCTTAAACTTATCAGATGTTGGTAGGACCAGATTTTAGGCGGGTCATTTAGTTGTCCACCGTGCTGTAAATGTACTAATGCTGGCCTGTTACAGGCATTGATCAATTCGACAGGGACTCGACGATAGTGGACTTCAAGTCGGGCAAGGTGCGGCTGCTGGTGGCCACTAGTGTGGCGGCTCGCGGTCTCGACGTCAAGCAGCTCGTGCTCGTCGTCAACTACGACTGCCCCAATCACTACGAGGACTACGTGCACAGGTACGTTTTGTACCAGGCGGAGTCACATTGCACGCGGGGTTGCCATTTCGAAATTTTAAATTGCCGTGTTTTGGGATCTGGATTGCCGTGTTTTGGGATCTGGATTGCCGTGTTTTGGAATAAAAACTACAAAATTGTCGTGTACATTTTTATTTATTTTTAATTTACACGTAAGATTAAACATGACATAAAAACATTACTCTTCACAGTCATTATACATCGTATCCAAAACTTCTTCTTCGTCTTTGTTCAATTTATATTAATTATTTTCCTTCATATTGTCTTTTTTTCTATAAAAAATATTCCTTTATTTCCAAGTCCATTGTCTATCATTTGTTTTGTCGTTTCGAAATTTACACAATTTCCTTGGGATCGGATAAAGTGTTTAGCTAGTAAAGTTAAATAAAGTAAATAAACAGCAGTATCTTTTTAATGTAATTTTAATTGTATGTCGAATTCTCGTCGGGATTCCCCCGCTCATAAGGTCATGACTACGTCTAGTGTGGTCTAGTGGTGTGCGTTATAATGATTTATCGACAACCGATAAAATTTTCGGAAAAAACTAGTAACTATTGCATTGTTTTTAGAACACGGCAGTTAATATGCTGCCGTGTACCGTGTTTTATTGCTAAATAGACACAAATTGCCGTGTAAATGGCAACACTGCATTGCAGCGACGCATTAATGGATTGAACCAGGTAAGGGGTACACTCGTAATATCTGCGTAATATAGCAGCAAAACGCTGCTGTGTTTCTTATTGATGAAAAGCAGAGACTCTTTCTACTGGTATTGAGGCATTCCATTTCATTCCTAGCGACAACGTATGTTCCTACGGCTGTAGTAGTTCAAGGGCTATGTTGAACTTCTCATAATACGCGAGGAACTCTGGTTCGCTCTCCCCTGGCACGGAAGAAGTTGTCAACTGTAGTTTAAAGTGGTGGTTTATCACGTGCATGTTAGGAAACCCACACATCTGAAAATAAAACATTTCGCATTAGAGCAACACTCTCAGAAATGAAAGGAGGTATCTGCCTAGCTGTATCATGTATGTAGGCTGTAATTTTATTTTTATATTTACCTAATTTTTTACATAAATTGCAGTTATATTAGTAGTATAATTGTAGCACGAATGGGTCGGCTCGACCAGGGAAGGACCACGCTCGCACAGAATACCAGCGTGAAATAGTAGCTTAATACTGATGTGTTTCATATGATGAGGGTAGAGAACCGGAGACCCTTTTTACTTGAAACGAGGCATTCCATCTTAGTCCTCACGGGTGACAACGCATCTGCATTTGATTTGTAATCGACGATAGATGTAGATGTCTATGGGCCGCAGCAACCACTTACTATCAGGTGGAATGTATGCTCGTTTGTCACCCTATACTATAAAAAAATTAACCAAAACAATTAGGCGCATGACAGCTATTACGTCAGTGTAACTAGGAAGGTAATACCAAATCCAAAGGTCAAATGTGACCGCTCCCACCCACGGCACTTTAACCTATCAATACTTATGTTTAGAGACTACTTTTCTATGAAGAAGTTTCGTATTATAGAATAAAAGGTCAGTTAGTTTATGGATATTTATTTATAATCTACGTTAATTTCGTACGCCATTTTCGTGTGAATGTTATTGTGTTGATTTTTGAATTTTTCTAGTGTTTTATTATTAAATTGTAATGAAAGTTTTTGTGTGAATATAATTTATCTTTTTACGTAAATAAATTCGAGTAATATATAAAGAAATAATTGTGATTTTCACGCTGCTGACATCCGCTTGCTATTTATTTTTATTTTTTTGTTATCAAAATACAACAAAATAATTTTGTAATGAAGTAAAACCTCACTTTTGTTTAGACCACAGGGTAGAGAATTTTGTATAGATTTTATAATGCCACACTTCTTCATAGAAAAGTAGTCCCTAAATAAAAGTGTTAATGGTTTAAAGTGCTGTGGGTGGGTGCGGTCGGATGCGACCGCTTGGGATATGACGGACGCATGCGACTGTGAGATTTTTATGGGGATTGAAGGGTTAATAAAGATAAATTTAAACATTATAATTTGTCATTTGAACAATAATCTTTCAGGCAACTTTTGATACATTATAATTAGAAATTTACTGATATAATACAGATATGTTATTTTTCTTTTATTCACAATTTTGAGCTCTTTTGCAATTACACATTATAGTACAATAAGGTATAAGAATTACTTGTCCTCAAGTTTAAATTTGTTCGTGAATGTTGAGTATAGGTTTAGTTTATTAGTAGGGGTTTCTTCTCATTAAGATTAGATTTATTGATCCCTCTACTTTGTTGTATTGTGCTTCACTTCATATTATATAAATATATTTTTATCATATGATTAGATATATATATAGCTATTATATTATATATATACATTACTGTACTACTTGTCTACTCTAGTACGTCAGCTTATACGAGGGCGGCACTAAAAATTTCGGGAATCAAGGAAGTGACACAACATTGCTATTTAAAAATGTATTTATTGCTTTTCGAAGTATTCTCCGCGAAATTTGACACATTTTTCCATACGATGGAACCAATCATTGAAGCAACCATTCCATTCGGAAGTTGGGGTCTCCAAAACGGCCGTTTTGTAGGCGTCCACAGCTTCTTCAGGTGATGAAAATCTCTGTCCATGCAATTTATTCTTTATTTTAGGGAAAGTATAGAATTCATTAGGGCTTAGGTCGGGGCTGTACGGCGGATGGTCTAATAATTCTATGTTTTCTTGCTCTAAAAACTCTTTTGTTCTGTGTGCGGTGTGAGAACTCACTGTTTTTGTGTTAAACCACTTCGAAAGTCATAATAAATCATCGCTCTTGAATTTTCTCGAGTCAATTCATTTTTAACGACTAAACAAGTTGACAACTTGTGACAAGAAGAATCTTTTTTTTTGGATGATTTTTAAAACCGGAGTTTCATTAAAGATTTTGAGGAACAGTGGAAATATTCCATTCCCAATACTTTTAGTGCAGCCCTCGTACTAAATCTATGATGATCATCATAACATTCTTTAACAAGTCCACTGCTAAACATAGGAGGCTTGGGGAGGCTAATCCGTTGGGTTCTAAGTATATCACGCAGAGAAACCTCGTGCTTAACCCTCTCCATAGCTTGCTGAGGTACCTCGGGCTTCCTCATACGGCCAGCAGTGAAATATCACGTCTGAGATCCATATGTTATATTGGTGGTTATTTTATAACAAATGAGATTGACTTCACTCAGATGCGGTCGTACAGGCCGGGCGGGTAACAAAGGCTACGCTTGGACATTCCTCACGCCAGAGCAAGGTCGCTACGCGGGTGACGTCCTACGAGCGTTCGAGCTGGCCGGTGCTACACCGCCGCCGGAATTGAGACAGTTGTGGGAACGTTACAAAGAGGCGCAAGAGAAAGAGGGCAAGAAAGTGCATACCGGAGGAGGTTTTAGTGGTAAAGGTGAGTACAGGATCTTTTTTTTCATAAATTATAGGGTATGTTCCAAAACGTTTTCAGTATACTGCCGAATACAAATGACGTCATCAATTGACACTATATTGTGCTGATGTGCCGCCATCATATTGTGTCGGATATTCGGCCATAATAAAACAACTTTTAATTGTGTGTGCACTGAATGAAGCATGCCAGAATTTGTTTTTATATATTCAAATACAAAAAATTATAGAATAAGTGCTGGTATCTTTATTAGGAGGATATAATGATTTTGGAGCACAAAATGACAAAATAATCGCCAATACTTTTCCAATATGGCGCAAATGTATGACGTCATATACTGTCCTATGTTTTGGAACGAATCACCAGTATAGCGTTGATTCATGACGTCATTTGCATTGGACAGTACACTGGGTTGTATTTTGGAACATACCCATAATATTAGGGTCACGATGTCGTCCGCAAACTAGGCTCCATAAGTTAGTGACAGATAGATATTGACCACCACTTTAATGAACAACGGAATGATATCGTAGAAGATTGCATGAAGTGGAAGATGAAAGGGGAGGCTTTTGTCACATTTAAATTATTACGCTTGAGCTACAGTCAATTGGCAGCAAGATAAAGAGGATGTCCTGAGTGACTGACTCATCTATCAACGCACAGACCAAACCGTATAAATCTAAAATTTAGACAGTAGCTGACTTTTATGACGTAGCCATACTAATAAAGGATTTTTGATAATTCAACCCCGAGAGGGTGTTAGGGTATTCCAGTCTGTATAAATATTTTTACTTTACGAGGCGATTAATTTGAAACTTACTGAAAGTATTCTGTAAATAAAATAAATGAGTACGGATTTTGTTAAAATAAAATATATACGTTATTTATATGAAGCGTATTTTTTAATATGGCAATATATTCAATTTGACTGCTATTATAATGCAATATTTGTGGTGTAAGTCTATAATTTTAATCTATGTTTATATAGGTTTTAAATTCGACGAATCTGAAGCTCAAGCCGCATCGGAAAAAAAGAAGTATCAAAAAGCTGCGCTAGGCCTCCAGGATTCTGATGACGAGGACGTGGAAGGCGATTTGGATCAACAAATAGAAACCATGCTAGCTGCTAAGAAGATTGTTAAGGAAATCAAGGTATTGTAGTGATTATGAAAAAAGAGAAGTCTACGAATTGCTAAGGAAATCTAGTTCGCGTTCTTTCGGGAGCCTGTGCGTTCTGGACTTCTTTTTTGTATCTATATTTACGTCCAATTCGATTCTCGATAACAAGAGGAATACATCGCTGACTATAACGCTTTTTGGTTTCGCAGAGCTTCTTGTCAAACTGACAAGAATTCCTCACCCTGGAATTGAATTGATAGGGCCTGTTGGTATCTATAATTTGTGCTGAAGACTTGAGCTACGAAATTGGCATCAGTTCTTACGTACATAAAGAAAAATTAGTAATCAGACCTTTTAAAACATAACGTTTTCGTATCATTGACTCAACCTGTATGGAAATTTTAACAGTGCTCTGTAACGTGGTGGATATAAATCAAACTATGATTTGTCATACAAAGTCATGAGATAGCAATACGAATGTAATCCGAGAGAGAACTCATGCTAAGGGGCAGATCACGGGCCCGAGTTCCAGCGGGGGTCAACTTTTAAAAGACCACCATGAGAGATCAGGGCTAGGACCAACGGCTTTATGTGCTTTCCGAGGCATGGGGCTTACCCCCCATGGGGTGTCTTAACACTGCCAACTTCCTGACTCTGGAATGCTACTGAATTCTTTTTAACAATGATATCCAATAGCTAAATTTTGGCTCGACCCGGGATTTGAGTCCGGTACATGACTAGTAGTCGCGCTTACGTCCATTGGACTAACGATGGAATCCAAGCCCGGCTACATAATACAGATGTATCATTCTGTATTATGTAGTCTGGCGGGTAAATTTTGGTTTGAAGTTGATATTGTAATTTATATTATACGTAAAATTGGAACGATTTTGTGTGTTAAATGTTTGCGTAAGTGAAGCATTGAAAAGTATGTTATAAGTGTTTCGATACTGATATAAAACTCTGGATATTTAATCGGGCTTTGAGATACAATCGTCTTCAACAGTCCACTTGGTGTAATTATGGAGTGTAAAAGTAAGGAGTACCAACTCCCATACTAGAATAGTTGGAAAAGTGGCCATCTGTAAGCAGTAAGTAACAGTTCAAAAACTCTTCACAAAAGCGCTGGAGTAGCTACTGGGATGAAATGAACTTAGCAATTGGTGATGGTTTAAGTGTGCTCCTAAAGTGCTCAGTAGCTCTAAAATCTAAAATTATTTTACTTAGTAAATATAACCTCGAAAAAGTCGTTTATCCCACTAATATTTTTCGGCACGTTCTTTAAAGTATACCCCGTAGTTATAGTGGCGCCACCCTTATTTAACGGTTTTCTATGGACACTTTTTAATACACAGTCTATACTCCTTACTTCTAAACTCCATAAAAGTAATATTGGTGTGTGTTGCGGCGGCAGCCGGGTGCGGTGGGCGCGGCGGCGGGCGCGGCAGGCGGCGCGGGAGGGGCGGGCGCGGACGGCAAGCTGGAGCTGGCGCGGCGGCTGGCCTCGCGCATCAACCTGGCCAAGGGACTCGGTGTCGAGCACAAGGGCGCCACGCAGCAGGCCGCCGAGGCCATCCTCAAGGGCTCGCTCTCCGCGCACACGCTCATCACCGTATGTAACACAATATATTAATAATGTCTTCCAGACCGAATTTCGGCCACGGCGGCCTGCCTCAACGGAGACTAACCATCGGCGCAGGACAGGATTATAGTGCCCAAGTGTATGTGGCAGCACAGGTACACTCGCTATTTCCTTACTCTCATAATCCGATGGGACGGTAAACCGACACGACCGGAGAGACATCAGGCGCAGGACCAACGACTTTACGTGTTTTCCGAGGCACGGGGGTGAGACACCGCCAACATCCTGGCTCCGGGCAACTACTAAGAATTTCTTGACGGAAAAACTCAATAATTAATTTTCTGGCCCGACCCGGGATTCGAACCCAGGACCTCATGATCAGCAGTCGCACTGCTACAACCACTAGACCAACGAAGCAGTCAACACAACATATTATACATAGTAGAGCCACGATGCAGCTAGCTGTATTAGTTGTAGCACGAATGGGTCGGCTTGGTCGGGGTAGGACCACGCTCTCACAGAATAATAGCGTAAAATAGCAGCTTATGGTGTTTCGTAAGGTGTTTCCTATGGTAAGTGTAGAGAACTGGAGAACCTTTCTCTGTAAACGAGGCATTCGACCTTAGTCTTCAGAGGTTACAACTCGTCTACATTTTAATTCTTAATCGAGTATAAGTAAAGATGTCTATAAGCATATATATAACAGCCTGTATAAAGTAAGTAGTTTGCACTGCCTAATAGAACCGGTTCGTCTAACTGTCCCGGGTGAGAATTGCAAATTTGTGCTTACCACTTACACAATAAGGAAGTTATATTTATATGTATATACATTTTTTTAACTTTTAGTAAATTAATTAAATATTTATGTAAAGCAGTGCGTTAGTTGCGAATGTGAGTACCAATACAAACCATTATTGGTTTAATGTTACAAAAAAAGCAAATATGTAAGAATACTTTTGATAAATAAATAAAAAACCACATATAATACACACAATAAATAAAAAGCCACAGCATTCACTTACCGTCAGGTGGACTGTGTGTGTCATTTGACACCCTTATTCTATAAAAAAACGTAAGTAAAGACTTATATCTTTGGATGTGTTCATATATATATACAATATGTAACCTAATTAACGCACACCCTCAGACACCCCAATTAGTATATTATGTTATAACCATAATACATACACTGAATTTTTAGTTAAACATTTTTATGCACTGATTATTTATCAAATTAGTTATACTAATTCCGGAAGATTGTTGTGGTCACAGTACAAATCCACGAACGCAAAGACTTTAACGTGCTTGAAATAAAGTTCATTTTTCTTTATTTTTATTGAATGACAGAATTAGTAATAATACAAATAAAGCTGCACTCTTAAAAGTCTTAATGCCTTAAGTTACGGTCCATTTCAGTTTGTTTTGACTGTACAGATTTAGTGTGACTGTAATTTAAGTAGTTTTAATTATTTTTGGGATAAAAAATTACCTATATTAAAAATGATAGGAATCGATTCAGTAAACGATTCTGAACAAACTACTTTCTCAAAGTGCGTTAATTACGTTACGTGTTGTGTATATATATATATATATATATACATATATATATATATATATATATATATATATATATATATATATATATATATATATATATATATACAATATGTAACGTAATTAACGCGCACCCTCAGACATCCCAATTAGTATATTATGTTATAATCATAATACATACACTGAACTTTTAGTTAAACATTTTTATGCACTGATTATTTATCAAATTAGTTATATTAATTGCGGAAGAATATTGTGGTCACAGTGCAAATCCACGAACGCAAAGACTTTAACGCTTGAAATAAAGTTAATTTTTCTTTATTTCTATTGAATGACAGTATTAGTAATAATACAAATAAAACTGCACTCTTAAAAGTCTTATTGCCTTAAGTTACGGTGCATTTCAGTTTGTTTTAACGGTACAGATTCAGTGTGACTGTAATTTACGTAGTTTTAATTATTTTTGGGTTAAAAAATTACCTATAATAAAAATGATATGAATCGATTCAGTAAGCGATTCTGAACAAACTACTTTCTCAAAGTGCGTTAATTATGTTACATGTTGTATATATATAATATATATATACATATATATTTGTTGCGTTCAAACCGTGGTTGATAAACATGTATGATAATACGTAAACAAACAAAAGAAAACCATGAGCCATGAGACAATAATTATTGTCTATTCGATGCACAAGTGTTAAACATAATGTGAATAATATCATGCAGAAAGCCTAATATTAATATCCCACATCTCCTTTTTATTTTTTTCTGGTGGCATGGTAAATTCGCCAATGACATTTGATCGAAATGACATGAAATCGAAAATGAGAGTGCTGAGTTTAGTTAATTAATAAGGGTATGTATATATAATACTAGAGGTTACTTTTCCACCTAGTTTTGAAAAATCTATAATTTATGTTGAATTATCTAAAACAAATGACAAATACAGGTCTTAGAATAGTTTTATATTATCAGTAAATTCGTAATTAAATAACAGATTTTGAATGATTTATTGTAAATGACAACTAACGATAAATCATATAAAATATACATAAAGAAGTTTTTGTTTATGTTAAAAGGCAATTAGAATCTATGGGTCGAGGAATTTAAGGAAGCTTTGTAGAGAGAATCATTTAACTGCATTTAGGTACAAATACCTTATGTATTCAGCTAGTTGCTCCATACCAAATGACTTATTTGGTAACCCTGACATGGATCCTGAATTTATCCCAGTTATAGTAGATGTACAGTATAGATGGTACATATATTTATGTGTAAAAAATAGTAATTATTTATACCATAAGCAAGTACGAGGGCTGCACTAAAAGTTTCGGGAATGGAATATTGCCACTGTTCCTGTCATATTAAAATCTTTTTAATTGAAAACTCCTTGGTTTTAAAAATCGAATACCATTTATTTATTTAAAAAAAAGATTCTCGGTCTTGTCACAAGGTTTTGTCAAACTTGTTTAGTCGTTGAGAAAATGGAATTGACTCGAGAAAATTCAAGAGCGATGATTTATTATGACTTTCGAAGTGGTTTAACACAAAAACAGTGTATTGACCGGATGATTTCTGCATTTGGTGATGAAGCCCCATCCAAAACCACAATTTATCGCTGGTTTGCTGAATTTCAACGTTGACGTGTCAAGCTCAGTGATGATCCCCGTCAAGGTCGTCCAAAAACTGCAGTCACCCAAGAAAACGTTGATGCTGTGCGTAAGCTGGTTGAGGAAGATCGACATGTGAGAAATTCAGGCAACTTTAGACATTGGCATGAGTCAAATATAAATAATCTTGCATGAACAATTAGGTGTAAAAAAGTTGTTTTCCCGATGGATACTGCATTCGCTCTGTGAACAGCAAAAAGCGGCTCGCGTTACATGGTGCGTCAGAATTCTCGAAAGATTCCACGCAAGATCCTCAAATGCTGTATACAACATCGTATCAGGTGACGAATCCTGGATATATGCGTACGAACACGAAACAAAAAACCAGTCACGAGTTTGGGTATTCGAAAATGAGTTAAAGCCAACAAAAATTGTTCGTTCACGGAATGTTGCAAAAAAAATGGTGGCCACGTTTGTCTCCAAAACCGGCCATGTTACGACTATTCCTCTTGAGGGACAAAGAACGGTTAATGCAGAATGGTATGCTAGCATTTGTTTGCCACAGGTCGTTTCTGAACTCCGTAAAGAGAACTGCAACCGCCGCATCATCCTCCATCACGACAATGCGAGTTCTCACACCGCACACAGAACAAAAGAGTTTTTAGAGCAAGAAAACATAGAATTATTAGACCATCCGCCGTACAGCCCCGACCTAAGCTCTAATGATTTCTATACTTTCCCTAAAATAAGGAATAAATTGCGTGGACAGAGATTTTCATCACCTGAAGAAGCTGTGGACGCCTACAAAACGGTCATTTTGGAGACCCCAACTTCCGAATGGAATGGTTGCTTCAATGATTGGTTCCATCGTATGGAAAAATGTGTCAAATTTCGCGGAGAATACATCGAAAAGCAATAAATACATTTTTAAATAGTAATGTTGTGTCACTTCCTTGATTCCCGAAATTTTCAGTGCCGCCCTCCAATACAGTTTGCATAAATATCGTAACTTAGTGAAGCCATTTTTACTTGTGTAATGTTTATATCCTTGATGTTTTTCGACTATACCCTGAGACACAATCAGATACTTTTATTATCTTTAAGACTGCTGTGTTGTTAACTCTGCAGGAAGGAATATTATTTTGTCGTCTACCATCATGTACACAAGCATGCACTATATTTTGTTGAACTATTAAAAGAATTTTCCATCGATCTTATAGTACCTACAATTGCTGAATGTATCTGCAACTTTGTTTTATGTTATTAATGATTGAACAGTGCATTATTTTAACTTATAATACCAGTGAAAAGTACTAGACAATCGCTTTAAGTTTGTATTTATGTTATTGTAAGATTCATATTATAATTGTTAATTTCTCAGTATTTCCGTTAAGATGCGGTAAAACTACTATTGCAATCTATAGATTATAAGGAACAAATCGACATGTTATAAGGAACAAATCGACATGCATTTCAATAAGAGTCGCTAAAATTTGTGGTGGGCCCATTGTCAATACAAAAAGAAATTGTCCCCTTTTTAATTTTTAATTCATTAAGATGTAACTGCGAGGAAAATGAACGTACAAAAAAAAACAACTAATATAATATAATAACAACTATACGATCATTATTTCCGGTGTTATTGATTATGAAAGTTTAAAAGAGCTTTTTTTCTTTGATTGATGATAACTTCGCGGCAAATCAACGTACAAGCTTTTTAATTCATTTGACACTTGTCATTTGTCAGTTGCACTTGCCACTCGCACTTGTCACTTCTCAAAATGTAAACTGGGCTTTATGTTTATCATGAAAATTATTTATTCTTTAATATACCGTAGATAACCTTAACCTCTCAACCCCCTAGCGGTCTCATGAGACCGCTGTCATATTTCGTCAAATCCCTAGCGGTCTCATGAGGTCGCACCCTCCCACAGCACTTTAACCATAAAAACTTATATATAGAGTTTTCTATGAAGAAGTTTGGCATTATATAATCAATAGGAAATTCTCTGTCCTCTAGTGCAATAAAAAACTGTTATCCTATGAATATTTATTTATAATCTACGTTTATTTCGTTCGCCATTTTCGCGTGAATGTTATTGTGTTGATTTTTGGATATTTCTAGCGTTTTAGTAGTGTTTTATTATAAAATTGTAATGAAAGTTTTTGTGTGAATATAATTTATCTTTTTACGTAAATAATTTCGAGTTATATATATTGAAATAATTCTGATTTTCACGCTGCCGACATTCACTTGGTATATTTTTTTTGTTATCAAAATACAATAAAATCTTTTTGTAATGAAGTAAAACCTGAATTTTGTTTAGACCACAAAATAGAGAATTTTGTATAGATTTTATAATGCTAAACTTTTTTATAGAAAAGTAGTTTCTAAATATAAGTTTTTATGTTAAAAAATAAATGTTTTCAGGGCTGTGGGTGGGTGCGGTCGCATGCGACTGCATGGGATTTTTGTGGCGCTTGATGGGTTAATTGCATAGAAACATACTTTACCTATAATTAAAATTAGACATTATCAGACATCTTTTTTTGAAGCTGCTCCCTACGAATGGTATTTTATATTAGGTACAAATGGTGATCTTCAGGTATTTCCTCACCTCTTATAACACAATATGAAATGGCCTAATGTCAATATTTAGATAATGTAATACTTCATAAATAGATGTAAAAACAATCATGATAGCAAAATACAAAAAATTAATAATTATTTACGTAATTTTGGCAGGCGAAGACCGTTGCGGAGCAGTTGGCTGCGAAGCTGAACACGCGGCTGAACTACCAGCCGCGCGACGAGAGCAACGCCGAGCCGGCCGAGGAGGTGTTCCGCAAGTACGAGACCGAGCTCGAGATCAACGACTTCCCGCAGCAGGCACGCTGGCGGGTCACCAGCAAGGTAACCTACACCTCCCAACACCTACATTTATCTACACCTATCTATTTATCATGTACCTTCATCTATCTACATCTACCCACAGCTACTAACATATCTACCTAAACTCTGTCTACACCATTAAAATAGTACAGATGTACCATTAAACTAGAACAGTGCAGAGCAGTGCGAGGCTCGTGGAGACACAGAGTACCAATTTATGGCACAGACTAAATAAGTTTATGGCCTTGAGCTCTAATGCGTGTTGTAAACGACCATGTCTTGGCGTGTTTTGTAGTACGTACATAATAGTACATAATACTTCAATGGTCTACACTTACACTTAACTTAACACGTTAGGTTTTATTACAAAACGTGGCTTTTTAATAGTCTCTAGTTTAATCTAAGAAGAGTTCTAACTAATGAGGAAATAATATACCTTAAGAGACGTCACGTGACGTCTCTTAGGCGCGGCACAGTTTTCGCCAAATTAGACATTTACTGTCTAACTTATTATTTTAGTTCGTATATTTCCTCAGGACTACAGATAGTTCATAAAACAGATTTTAGTTTAAACCTGAAACTAATTATTATAAACTACTTTTTGTAATAAGGCCGCTCGGGTTTGGGTATGGGTCACGTACTTAACTATAGTGACTAACTTCAAAATGTGTTCAGGTTTCCACATTCATACTATGTTCTTTTTTATTTAATTTATTAATGAATTTATAATACAGTGGTGTTACTCAATTCTAAACTCGTCAAACTTTTAAGTTTGATGGATGTATGTTCGATAAAAATACGACATCAAACTGACATTTCGCTTCGCATTGCGCACGAATACGAACTTTAGTGAAAGATGTGCTTAAAATCGATCTAAAAATAATGATTTTAATTTAAACTCTGTAAATTGTTATGAATTTACCTTAAAATAAATAAAATAATAATTTTGAAACGGTGGCGTGTCAGTGATCAAAATTTTTATTCTATGATATGTATGAAACAAATATTATTGGAGATTTACGGCAACTGGAGCATACTGCACGGTCGCTAATCAGTTAATATATATTTAGTGGAGCCACACTGCAGTTGCATTTCTTTGTAGAAAGAAGGGGTAGGCTCGATCGGGGAAGGTCCACGCTATCACAGAATACCAGATAACAGCATAATGCTGGTGGTGTTTTGTATGGTGAGTGGTGAGAACCGGAAACCTTGTTGGTGATCTTCATCTATCTTTATTAAAATGCAGATGCGTTGTTGCCTCATTTACAGTAAAAAGGGTCTGTGGTACTCTACCCTCACTATACGAAACACAGCAGTATTGAGCTATTATTTTACGTTGGTATTACCCGACCCATTTATGCTACAGCTATACTACTAATAGAGCTGTAGTTTGGCTCCAAAGATTTAAATAGTTAATACTATTTAAATCTTTGTTTGGCTCCATCACGTAAATCTTAATAGGATTGTGTTTCTGACACTAAACCGCACTGCCGTCAATTCTTTATCCGGGAGGAGGCACGGTTGTTGTTGGTTCGTTTTTGTGTTCACGTAATTTTAAGCCTCTGTGATGTGGTCTGCACTTTTGAAAACTTTGGGTAGCAAGTGACAGTTATTGCTCTTGCGTCTAGACGGGCCAGGAGCAATGCTATCGATAATATTATAAATCTTTCCGTTTGAATTATCTTGTTTATTTAGGTTACTTTGTGTCAGTGGACAACTTCTACAGACACACAGTCTTTACTTAGAACTTCTTCAATATAGATTCATTGCCCTCTACATACCGGACATATTTTTATTTGTTTTCATTCGTTTTATTGCTTTCTACGAGTCTACAACCCGATGCCCTTGTTTGTTTATTTAATAAAGGCCACAGTGACCTTCGCGATAACCCTAACATAAGCAAGTATATAACCCTTGCACATATTTATTTGCAATTAAATTAACTTTTCGCTCAGTGTGTGCTCTTGAGACGTTCAATCAAGATGTTGCTCAAACTTGTGATGATTGGTGCACTCGTATTTTTCTGTGTTAAATTATTAAAACGGCATAGATGTTATTACTGTCATTAGATATACTTTAATAAGGTATTATAATTATATATTTAGTACGTGAAGTAACTTTAGATCCAATACCCCACCGAAAATATTATGTATTGTATGTCTTGGAAGAATGTAAAATTTATTCTTATAACACCTATACAAAACGACTTCTTTGCGTTAGTAGTGATTAACACTTTTGCCTTAATTATTACGTTTGGAAGAGACGATATTTGTACCAAAATCCCACCACGTTCAACGTTGCTCCCCGTCTTCGGTCTAGGTCTTTTTTTATTGAAGATGGGGCAAATAAGTATGCGGCTCACCTGATGGTAAGTGACTACCGCCGCCACAACAACTACTAGCTACAAGCCTGAACAACCGCCACACCAGGGGAATGGCAGGTGCGTTGCCGGTCTTTTAGAAAGGAGTAAGCTCTTTTCTTGAACGTCCCTAAGTATAGGCTCGGAAAAATCGTCGGTGGTAAACTATTCCACAGAGAAGTTGTGTAAGGAAGCAAACTCCTAGTAAAACGCACAGTGGTGGACCGCCAAGCATTCAGATGTTATCTATCGGAAACTATAACATTTTTCTGGCATTTTACTGGCATTTTACATAGTGGGCTTTTACGACAGCTACGGGACGCAATAGGGTGATAGTCGTCTTTACAATCAAAGAGGCCCATGTCCAACAGTACCCGATTACGGGCTGTTAATTGGTATTGATGATGATGAAATACTGTTTTTACAATATTTTTATTATGATATTCTTTGTAAAATTTAGTCAAGTTATAAAGTCATTGATATATTTTTTATGCAGGAGGCGCTAGCATTAATCAGCGAGTATTCAGAAGCAGGAATAACTGTACGCGGTACGTACGTACCACCGGGCAAAGCACCGCCAGAGGGCGAAAGGAAATTATACCTTGCGATAGAGAGCTCACAAGAACTAGCGGTCGCTAAAGCGAAGTCTGAAATAACGCGCCTCATCAAAGAAGAACTGCTCAAACTCCAGTCCTCTGCACATCACATGATTAATAAAGCAAGATATAAAGTTATATAGCAATAGTGGTATCATGTAAAATGTAAAGACTGGAGAATAAAACGCGCCTCTACGATGTTGTTTTATTTTATACCTTATTATGCTAAATATAAAGGCCTATTCTAGATTGGTCCGTACGGCATCATCGGCCGTGTTTTACCGATATCGAAACTTCAGTACATTACATACCTTGATTAGTATACATTATTTATTTGTAAAGATATTTTTATCAAGTAAGGATGAGGTAGTAATTTTTTTAAACTTCGTTTACTGTTGTGTATTTCTAATGACAGAAATAATTTGCAAGAATTTTTTACAAATTTATAGAAACGCAAAAAAAAGGTTTTATTTCTCATGTTTTATTTATCGTGCGTACTGGCCACAAACATTAGTAAAAAAAAGTTTTTCGAATTTCATTTGTTTTCATTTTTTATGTAATTAATGCGTTATCATACTGCGAAAAATTTTGCCAACTTTTAGATTTGAGTTTAACTCACCTAAACGAATACCTAAATGACAAATTTTAAATGTACCTAGAATACCTACAGTTGCTAAGTATATTACATAGTATATTCATCATTATTGTTTTATTATAACGGCCCTTCTCTCTCTTAATTGCCGTGCCCTGCAGGGCCCATAAAATCAAAATACAAATTTATAATAAATTATCATAAATATCTATGATATTTTGTGTTCCTCTAAATTTGCCCTTGAGTATAATCATAACTTCAAAACACCTCGGGTATCTCCGCGGCTGTGAGTGCTCTGAAGCGCCTGAAACATCAGGAATTAAAAAAAAATGAAGTAATCAAATTAAAAAAGAGTAGGTTAACAATTGGCCTGTATGATTTTTGTTAATCTATGCATCGCTGTCTTGTCGTGTCGAGAACTATAAAAACTTTGGTTGTTTTTCAATGTGTTGTTGTGTGGGCTCGGTTTGCTAAGCGTGAGTCGTACAGACTTATCATGAGACGGACTCTTTATAAAACTAAAGTAACAAACGGTCAGTCCACCTGATGTAAGTGGGCAAGTTAGCCCATGGACACCTTTATTTCTCTTTTTTAGGGTTCCGAGTCAACTAGGAACCCTTATAGTTTTGCCATGTCTGTCTGTCCGTCTGTCCGTCCTCGCTTAATCTCTGTGACCGTTAGCACTGGAAAGCTGAAATTTGGTACCAATATGTGTATCAATCACGCCGACAAAGTGGTAAAATAAAAATTGGAAAAAAATGTTTTATTAGGGTAGCCCCCCCTATATGTAAAGTGGGAGGTGATTTTTTTTAATTTCAAACCTAACGTGTGATATATTGTTGGAAAGGTATTTAAAAATGAATAGGGGTTTACTAAAATCATTTTTTGATAATGTCAATAATTTCGGAAATAATCGCTCTAAAATTAAAAAAACAATGTGTCCCCCCCCTCTAACTTTTGAACCATAAGTTTAGAAAATCTGAAAAAAAATCTGAAAAGTAGAACTTTATAAGGACTTTCTAGGAAAATCATTTTGAACTTGGATGGAAACAACAGTACCCACTACCGGGAGCAGTTGCAAGAGCGCGGAGCGCTGCTGGAGCGCGAACATAATGGATACCCACCTTTAAACTCATAAGTGGGAACACTTATTGCGACGGACGGGAAACTACGGAACCCTACACTGAGCGTGGCCCGACACGCTCTTGGCCGGTTTTTTTAATATTGGGAAGTGACTACGCATACCCGCCTTACGGAGGCAAGGATGGGTTATCTCGGACTCGTAGCGACTAAAACCCCATGGTGTGCCACCTTCGTCGCATATTGGTAGGGCCACGGGAACGCTTTTGCACACATCCGCGGCGCCTCCTCGAAAGAGAACTACTCCTCCCCTTTTTCCTTCTCAAATAAGGCGCACCAGAACACATGGTGCGCCTTCCTCCACGGCCTCCAACTACACCTGTGTAACGGACGCCCCCGTGTCCAGTGCGCGAAGACAATGGGGCCAGGAAACTAACATGTTGATATATTAAATGTAACAAATTTTTACGGATTTTATCGCATTAATTTAACTTCTTAATTCCCGACGTTTCGGGTGCTTCACAGCACCCATGATCACGGGGATATTTTTTAATATCATTACCCTCGCGAATCATCCTAGGTAGGAAACGGTGTTCTTTTGCGAGGATTTGTGGTCTATCAAATTTAATGTAATGGCGGGGCCGATCTTGAACATACGAGCGGTGGTCCAAAAGTAATGATAATCGGTTACTTCAGGTCCGCATAAAAATCCAAAAAAAAAAAACTTTCTTATATACTCACTACGTCAGCCTAAAAAATCATATAAATAGATCACGATTTCCGGGAGATAATCTATAATATCTATAATAAATAAGGGTTCGTATTCATTTGAATACGAACTGTCAAAGAGATAACATCAACATGGAGAAAAACGAAATTAGAGCTGTCATCAAGTACCTCTGTTTGAAAAAAAATTGTCTTCAAAAGTCATACACAGTGACTTAGTGAAAACATTGGGGGACTCTGCTCCTCCATATTCTACAGTTGCACGCTGGGCCAAGGAGTTTAAACTGGGCAGAACATCCACTGAAGATGAACATCGCAAAGGACGCCCATCCACGTCCCTCACTGAAGACAACGTGAAAAAAAGTCGAAGATGTTGTGTTGGCAGATCGAAGAGTACCCATCAGGCATGTAGCTGAGGTCACAGGGATCTCATATGGCAGCGTACAAAGAATCCTTGCGAACGAATTACATATGAAAAAGGTCTCTGCGCGTTGGGTACCCAGAATGTTAACCGATGAGCAAAAGAAAAATCGAGTTGACATTTCGAGGGTCAATCTCGAAAAGTTCCAAGCAGATCAAAAATATTTTTTGTTCCGTTTTGTGACTATGGACGAGACCTAGATCCACCATTTTGATCCTGAAACGAAACAACAATCGATGCCAAAGAAATTCAGTTTCAAGTTCGGCGGGAAAGGTTATGGCATCTGTTTTTTGGGACGCTTAAGGCACAATTATGGTGGAATATTTGGAAAAGGGAGCCACTATTACGGGCTCTTACTACGCAGACCAAATAAGAAGATTACGGGAGGCCATTAAGGAAAAAAGACGCGGCAAACTGCGAGCTGGAGTGCTGTTTCACCAAGACAACACACCGTCTCACAAAGCCGCAGTTGCGATGGCTGCCATTCAAGAAACGGGATTCGAACTGCTCGAACACCCTCCCTATTCGCCAGATCTAGCTCCTAGTGACTTCTACCTCTTTCCTCGGCTCAAGGAACGCCTCCGAGGCAAGAAATTCGAAGACGATAGCGAAGTAATGGCCGCTGTTGAAGCGTTTTAGGAGGGTCAAGACAAAGAATTTTTTTCAAAGGGAATCATGGGTTTAGAAAAAAGATGGACTAAATGTATTGATTTGTTAGGAGACTATGTAGAAAAATAAATTATTATTTTAACTTTAATTACCGTGTTTTATTTTCATTATCATTACTTTTGGATCACCCCTCGTATCTATACACAGAATGCAGACTTACCGGCTTTACGTAAGCTATATATTCTTTAACACGGGCTTTTATAGATCTTTTTGTTTCTCCTACGTACGAGAGACTACATTCTCAATCAAGCTAGTACACTTCTGCATCTTGTAGAGGAATATTGCACTGAACGGATGGTAAAAATTGACTAATCTTCTTCGGCAGCTTGTAGTAGGTTTTAATGGAAGCTCGCTTCAAGATGTAGCCAATCTTGTCTGTGACTCCTCTGAAGTATGGTAGTATAGCAGGCTCACGCTCGATCGTGGCCGGCTTCACTCGGTTACTGTGACGCGGGACCCAAAGCTTGTTGTCTTGCAATACTTACTTGACATGCTGAAGCTCTGCGGTCAGATGTTTTCTGTCACATATCCCTTGTGCTCTCTGAAACAAAGATTTTCCCACGGTAGCTAACTGTGATGGATGGTGGTGAGATTCACCGTTTTAATATAGGTAGGTATGGGTAATTTTTCTTATACACAGTGTGACCATGATGTGTTATCATGATTTCGGATGACTAAAACATGTAGAAAAGTTAAAGAATTAAATTAATTGCCTCTAACTCCATTGTGAATTGTATTTTAGTTTGTGGAGTTGAGGTGGGTTAAAAATGCAGTTACTTTGTCAGATGGTAAAATTGTGAAGGTGAAATCGTCTACGTACCTACCGCTTGTAGAATCTTGGATTTACAGGAGAAGTAAGCAGGGCTTTCGCCTCAGTTTTCCGTGAGTATGTCGGTGACAATGGGAGACACAGGTGAGCCCATCGCCACACTACCTACTTGCTTGTAGAGCTCCTCTTTCTACTATAGGTAGACATATGTAAGGCAGTATCTGAGTAATACTGCATATTCTACGGGCATATTGTTTTCTTCCAGCCTACTAGTTACAATTGAAATGCAGTCTTCAACTGGTGAGCATGTGACCATTGTCGCTTTGTCTGCCAGTTATAGGTCTTTAATATTGCTGACAAAATAGTAAGAATCCTTTGTGTGTGCTCTTGCTTGTCTGTCCTGACGGGTGAGAGTATTTTCGCTAAGTGTTGAGCCAAATCTGTAAGTTGGTGAATCGATTTGTCTCACTATGGGATTTAGTGTAGCATTGGGCTTGTGTATTTTTGGTAACCCATACGACTTCGGTGGTTTGGCACATGTAGGTATTATCGATTTTACGTCCAGATTTAAATTTTCGGAGTGTTTCTTTATGAGGTTACTAGTTGTTTTAAGCGTATTATTACTGTTTTGACCTTTTTCTATGTAATTTCGTCGTTAAAATTGTTATATTTTGAAATTATACTCAAACGTGTCCATTATTACCGTATCATTTCCTTTATTTGCGCGGAGAATTGTGAGCTCTGGTCTGTTGCGTAAGTTGCGCAACGCTTTAAACTCGTCTTTGGAGAGATTTAGTTTTGGCGCTGAACTTTGACGTAACAAGGACGAAGTGTCTGAAGTATGGCCTCCTTACCGATATTGTTCTTAAACAGACAATCCTCAACA